GATAAAGGAAAAGAAAATCAGAATTAATTCTTTTAAAGGAACTATTTTAATGGATTTGTTGGAATACGCTCAAAAATTAGTAAGCAAAGGCAATAGTAATCAACAACAAAACGCTCAATATCTGCAAACTCTTATTAAGCATGAGAATTCACCCGTTAAGCCCGATAATAAGCAACCGAGCAATAATACTCCGCTTTTAGTTGGCGGTTTAGTTGCTTTTGGCATGGCAACCTTAGCAATTGGTTATTTATGAGGTAAAAAGAAAAATGAAGCAAAAGAGGAATAAAATTGTTAAATTATAAATTATATATACCTTATCAGTTGAAAACAGTTCGGTAGGTGAAGTGGTTATTGGAAAATAGCCAGTTAACCTACCACGTAAGCCTATCGGGCTGCTTTGAGCGAATAAGAAAATGGTTAACTGGCAAATTAACCAAGAGGTAGAATTATACACTATCCTTGGAAAACAAAAAAAAGAAAGCTAAAAAATTATAGGGGAAAGGGATATTTTTTTACTTTTTTAACTTATTTTCAAAAAGAGAGGAGAGTATTTTGACTTTTTAGAACACTAATTTTCGAACAAAGGAAATAAGGATTTTTTTATTTCTTTTATTGGGAAATTAACCTCATTGTTTTCCACAACTAGACCATAGCACGAGTTAGCAATTTAATTCTACTCAGAACACTTGGAGATGATTTAGTTTTGTGTCTGAGTAAAAAAACTAGAACTAGTTGCGAGGCCAATACGGAAGCCAGGTCGCCGTTTTTGATTGAAAGATATCAAAAAACAAACTGCCGATAAGCAGCAGCCGTGGCGATAATGGGGGCGGAATGTTTGGCATATAACCAAACCATCCCACGTGGAGTTCTAGAAACTGTAATCAAGTCGCCTAGACCGAGCCGTGATACCCATAATTCCTAACTTGCCGACCTCTCAAAATGAGAACTAAATATAGGAGAATGACAACCTATATATTAATTTTAGTTCCGAAGCGAGGCGATAGGGAGAGAGTAGCGTTTTTTTTTTGCCTTATTTTCCCCCTTTACTTATTTCTAATAAGTAAAAATAGACATTAAGTCCCATTTTTGCCCCTTTTTGCTTTTCTTTTATTTAATTTT